GACCCAAGCCCGGAGGTGCGGTGGCAGCGTGGGGGTGGCGGTATCAGGGGTTTAATTGGCAAGAGCCCTTCAGAAAATGAGACCTCTGGCGTGGCAGCTCTGGTGAATTACTGATGCCTGCTTGTAAAGCAGGTGCAGGAAATTAAATGATAATGTTATTTGAACGTGTATTCACTTCGCTGCTGTTGGGGAGGCTGGAAAAGTTAATGATGGTGTAGTTGCTGTCAGTATGTGTGACTGACAGAATAGCTCTGATGATGAATAAGATGCCCTGCGAAAATAATTATAGCAATTGCCTGTTAGGTATGCCGTTTGTTTTTCTTGCAGAAAACGTGGTTAGAAAAATACTTGTTTTCTGCATTTTGTTAAAATTCACGTGTATTTATGCATTGCAGTCGGCTTAGAAGGAAAGATGATGCTGTTTTTTAGAGGACAAGAGATATAGTCTGGCTTCAACAACCTATTTTTGTGAGATTTAAACTGTAAACTCAATACAGGCTGCTTGAGGCACTTGTATATTTTGCGAGGCAGAGAAATACTGGTTCTTTTGGTTTCTTTTGTACTTAAATGATTGCATGTTGTCCTTGTTTGATTTGAAGACTACTTCAGCAGTCACTGGTAGTGTTGTGACATAAGACAGTTTATCCAATGTATTTAAAATGGAAAACCTAGGAGAAAAATAAAAGAAAACTCATCTTTACTAATGAAATGAAAATTTAGTGCCTTTATAACTAATGTCTTAATAAGATATTTGATAAAGAACTAAAGGAGTATCTTTGTTAGTTATTTGTAAATTTACGTAAGTCTCTTTTTGCAGCTCCCTACAACAGATAAATGATACACTTTGCGTGTGATTCGCGACTTCCTCTTTTCTTCACAGTTAAGAAATTCTTGTTTGTAGTTTTCTGATGGGGTGAGGGGAAAAGAATAAGAAGAAGTTGTTCTGAATATGATTATTTTCTGTTTCAGATTTGTAGCTGATTGTTCACATGTGTCCAGGGGGAGATGAAGTACATTGGATCCTGCATAGTTTGGCTTTGTATGGCAGTCTTCCTCCTCCTTCCTGTTTCTACTTCTGTGGCTGTCAGTGACCAGACAGGTACTTCCATTCTTCTTGCCCATCACGGGCCAAAGGCATAAGACTCAGTACTGAACAGATCTGAACAAGTAGGGACAGTACATGGAAAATAAGTGGTATGAGCAGATAAAGTTATACAAGACTTTTAAAAATCTCTTTTTTAAAATGTCTAGGTTTGAAGCAGTTCCAAAGCAGCTTGCACTTGGAAGATTCATGTTTGGAAGCAGTTGTAGTTCCTAGGAGTTTTGTTTTGTACTATTTCAACTTACCATACAAAACAAGACTCAATCAGAGCTTGCAAAACTTTTGTGAACAAAATCATCTGGCTTTATTAGAGCAGATCAGTGATCACATTGACCTAAACGACCTAATGCTCATGTTAACCTAAACTTAATCGCAAGACCAGGTCATACGTTTAACAGATGTAGAGTTAGACAAAACCTTGTGCCTAAGAAGTCAGGGGAAAGGAATATAGTGATATTGTTTAACTTGAAAGCTGTTACCCATTTTCTCATACTTCTCTTTTTTTCTTCTTTCTCTTACTGTCCACGTGTTATCTAGCTCTCTCACTTAATCTCTTCGTTGACTCCCTAGATTCTGTCTTAAAGGCATGTCACTTGTGCTTGTAGAATAAGGAATTGTCAGTTTTCTAGATTTGCTCAGCCTCAGCACGTACCTCAACTTCCTAGAATTTTTCTGTAATTATTAGCAAGGAGAACATGCTTGTTGCTATTTAAATAGAAATAAAAATAATTCTTTTTCTTTATTTTTTTTAAATGAAATTTATTTTTAGTAATGCCGGTTTTCCAGAAACCTGATGAAAGATTATAGAAGCTATACATATACAACAACTTTGTATCTCCATAACACATTTGAAACTCAGGCCCAAGAAATTTAAAAAGACAATGACTAGGATAATAATCCTTTTACTACTCCTGGAAACAGTAAATAGTAAGATTTAATAAATAATAAAGTGTAATGTGTGGGCTCTAAGGTAAGAATAATGTGTTGTAAAGAGTCTGAATTTAAGTCAAAGACTTTTTTTTGCCTTATATTTTTAGGGTAGCAAGGCTAAGTGCTCTGCTGATGAATTATTCTTAACCCCCGTGAGAGTGAGCCTACATCACAGCTGTACAATCCTTCTTTTCAGCTTTTTGAAAGAAGTAAAATAGGTTGTCTTCTCTGTCATTGCTAGCTGGTGGATTGTAGAAGGGAAGTTATAAAAGTGGTAAAAGGGTGTAAGTGCAGAAGGTTCCCTAGTAATATAAATTAATAAATGGAAACTTGAAAAATTTTAAAACAAGAAGCCTTGTCTCCTTTCTTTTTACATCTTTTTTTTTTCTTTTTTTTTTTTTTTTCCCTACTGAAAAGATGTCTTAGTAAAAGATGGACCAGGCATAGAAGATGTGACAGGTACACTGAACTGCTAATAAATGGTGTATCTAAACTGTGCTTTATGTTCTGTTAGGGAGTTGGTGGCTAGGCAGCCAGCAGGGAAGTTGCAGTTTTCCTTCACCTGATTGCCACAAATGAATCAAATACGGGTCAAATTGAACTGCTGGGAAGAAGAGGAGAGACTGAACCTCTCCTGAGAATAACTGATGGTGTGCAATTGAGAGAGGCTTCTGCACTCTGAGGTGATACAGGCAGATGGTGAGGAATAACAAGTAGATTGCTGCCAGCTTGAGCATCCCTGCCAACAGCAGGGAATAGACTCAGAGTGATGCCTCAAATTGTTAACAGGAAAGAGACTATTCTAGAGGCTGAAGGGATGGTTACTGTCCAAAAATAAAAGTTACAGACCAGAAAGCAGGAGCTGAGAAAGAATGGACCCTGTGATGGTGCAGCAGTGAGGGGTACAGGTGTGCCTGCTAGCCTTTTGTTAATCTGCCCCATTTGGTTGCACTGGGTACTCCGTGTTGCAAAATCGTCTCATTCTAGTTTGATAATTTGTACACAGATGTTACAAATTGGAAACGTGCTTACTTCAAGAAGAGAGAAATCTCTAAGCTCCTCTTTTCCGCACACTTTTTTTTTTTCTTTCTCTCTCCTTTCTTTCTTTCGTTACCTGGCTCTTTCTTGGGCCTTTGTTCTCCCCCATGTACCAGTTGTGTTTGGATCAGCATCTGCCCTTCAGGATCTGCCTAGGCAATCCTTTTGATTTTCTTCCTCCCACAACATATGCATAGCACTTATTCGTCACTGTGCTAATATGAAAGCTTTTCCAGCAAAGCTTGGTTTTGGATTATTGCATTTACATCCTGAAATTTCCCACCTGATCTACTTGAGTCTAAAGGAATGACCTTCAAATGCAGGGAAAAGTGTAAATTGAAGTTCATTTGAAGGGGGAGTGGGTGGAAGAAGTGGGAAGGGCATCTCTTGTGCAAGAGAAAGAATTGTGTGCATATGTAGGGGAGAGCTTTCTGTGTTGGCATTCTGAGTATACTTTGGGACTTATTCATTGAGTCAATATAGTTAAAAAAAAAAAATACCAGTATTTGGGGGAAAAAATGTCACAGAGTGACAGAGTATGCAGAGATCTTCTTGGAGCAGTCCTCCTTAGGGTCTGAATGTGTGCCAGTAACCATTAGATTTACACCAAGGATTTTTTTCCATTCTTATTTGTCCAGTTTTGATGTGCTAATTGTTCATCAGAAGGAAGCATTCACTTCTAATAACAGAATATAGCAGATCTGAGGGATAGGGTTCAGGAGTTCTCCACAATCATGTTTTTGATCTGACTTCAGGAATATTTTCTTCATGTTGTCAACTTACTTTTTTTTTTTTTTTTTTATTGTTGGGAACATTTGGTTTTGGAGCATGGACATGAGCTCTTTCTGTAGTGGCACATGAAGTTCTAATTCGATCATTGTTAAATGCTTCATATTAAGAGTATTAATACTTTGTCTCATTTCCAGATCATTGCTGCTTTTTCAACTTTCTTTTACAATTACTTTTCAAAGTCACTTGCTAACCCATGAAAAATGTAGTATAAACAAAGTCTTGGGACTGTCAGGCATGGTGAATTTCCAGTGCCTTTTGACGTGGAATGCGTTGTGAAAAGTATTGGCTCTAGATCATAATTTTAGATAGGCACTTTAACCCAAATACAGTGAGTGGTTTCAAGTATGCAAATCAGTTCAGCTTTTTGGGTTTCATGTTTTAGTACGGCTAGATACTTCTCAAAATCAAGATAATGTCTTTACAGTAACTGTCATATACAATGTACTCATATTCTTAATATTCCAAATATTTTAATGTTGGATCCACAAACTATTGTTAGCATTGCAGTGTATGAGTGACCTTGCCACCCTTGGATTCCTTAACTTGTGGTTAAATACTGTCTTCCTGGGCATTGAATAAGGAGCTTTAGGTATCTATAAGAATGTGGTTCATGAAAGCCTGCAGACTGCGGAAAGCCACTTCAGCTAGCGAGTAGTACATAAGAGAGATCCTAGACCATAAAGGGGAATATTCTCAGCTACACACATTCTCCCAGTGTGAAGCCTGTAAACTAGATCAGCAACCCCTCCACCCCCCCTTTTTTTTTTTATGGAAAGGTAGAGAAAGAAAAAAGCATCAACTCCTACAGCCAAGATATTCACCTGCGATATCATAGAACAGTTTGGATTGGAAGCAAACTCCAAAAATCATCTAGTCCATCACCCCAGCAATAAGCAGGGACATCTTCAACTGGATCAGGTTGCTCAGAGCCCCATCCAGCCTGGTCTTGAGTGTTTGCAGGGGTGGGGCATCTACCACCTCTCTGGGCAACCTGTTCCAGTGGTTCACCACCCTAATTGTAAAAAATTTTTTCCTTATATCTAGTTTAAATCTACCCTCTTTTAGTTCAAAGCCATTACTCCTTGTCCTATCACAACAGGCCCTGCTAAAAAGTCTGTCCCCATCTTTCTTATAAGCCGCCTTTAAGTACTGAAAGGCTGCAGTAAGGTCTCCCCAGAGCCTTCCCTTCTCCAGGCTGAACAACCCCAACTCTCTCAGCCTGTCCTCATAGGAGAGGTGCTCCAGCCCTCGGATCATCTTCATGGCCCTCCTCTGGACCTGCTCCAACCGGTCCATGTCCTTCTTGTGCTGAGGGCTCCAGAGCTGGACGCAGTACTCCAGGTGGGGTCTCACCAGAGCAGAGTAGAGGGGCAGAATCACCTCCCTCGACCTGCTCGCCACGCTTCTCCGATGCAGCCCAGGGTACGGTTGGCCTCCTGGGCTGCCAGCGCACATTGCCGGCTCATGTCCAGCTTTTCATCCACCAGCACCCCCAAGTCCTTCTCTGCAGAGCTGCTCTCAATCCCTTCATCCCCCAACCTGTATTGATACTGGGGGTTGTCCCGACCCAGGTGCAGGTCCTAGTACAGACCCCTGAAGGACACCGCTCGTCATTGATCTTCATCTGGACATCGAGCTGTTGACCACTACCCTCTGAATGCAACCATCCAACCAATTTCTTACCCACTGAATAGTCCACCCATCAAATCCATATCTTCCCAATTTAGAGAGAAGGATGTTGTGGGGGATCATGCCAATGGCTTTACAGACATCAAGATAGATGGCATCCATGGCTCTTCCCTTGTCCCCTGATGTAGTCACTCCATCATAGAAAGCTACGAGGTTGGTCAGGCAGGACTTGCCCTTGGTGAAGCCATGCGGGCTGTCTTGAAGTCCTGTTTTTCACTACCTACTCTTCCTCACGGGACAACCTAGTTCTCCAGGGTCTAGCGTGAGCATCCGAATACCTCACCTCAGTTGGTATGGATTTCTTAATACTGCCTGCCAAAGCTGTTACATTATTTCCATGACTATCTAAATAGTCCCCAGATTTGGAGTTGACTTCTTTCCTATATCAACAAAGTTATAGATTCAGTATCCTTCATTGCTCTTCCCACCCTTGTCTTAATTAACACCTTTATTGTAATATAATATGATGTGGCTTACAGAGTAAAAAAGGAAAACAACAAAAAAAAATCATATCTGATTTGCTGGCACCTCTGTATGTGAGGCTACAGGCATGTAGGAAATCTGAGTTCTTGACCCTATTTGAAAGCAGGCCAGATGGGCCTGCAAATTCCTTTGAGCTGGACTCGTTGGATGTCATTGCTGACACTTGCAGGTATGTCACACATTCTGAAGAAGTTTCCTATGTCTATATTTATGAAGCCTGATCCAGTAAGATTGTGAGACATATCCTAGCTAATATGAGTTTCTGCCTGAAGCTTGAGTCCAACATAGGATGTGGGTATGTGTTAGGTGGAACTTTGCTGTTTGGCCATGTTCATTTGGCCTGTCATGCTTACTGATGGAAACTTTGGTGCCCTTGCAGTGTGCACATTGGTGATGTTAGATGGCAGCTGAAAACTTCACCTGAAGGTAAAGTTTACTTATAAAGTAGCAGATCTGGAGGAGCCAAGAGTGCTTGTTGGAAGCTACAGTTCCCAGTCAGGAAGGGCACACAAGAGACGTCTGTAAGAGTGAGACTGAAGCATGCACCAGAGTCTCCTCTGTCCTTGCTTGCACGGAAAAGAAAACTGGGCATGGGGCCTAGATGGAAGCTGCAGTGTGCTTTAACAGGTGCTATGTTCACTTCAGGAATTCAGAACATGCCACTGCATGTTGCAGCAGATACATCTAGATGCAAAGCCTTTATTTTTTTTGCATAATGCTATTGGAAAACAAAAAAAATTCTTAGTAGCATCTTATTGGAGAGACAGAAGATCAGTGATCTGTGATATATGTGCTTGATCTGCTTAAATACATATTTTTGAAATTATTACTTTGATTTTATAATAATAAGCCCCTACATAGAGCTCATTGATTTCTAAAGATTAAGGTCTGTAATTTGTCTTAAGGATAGCTGATATCATTGATCTATAGGTATGTTAACTTGAGCTTTGACATCACCATTTTAATGTGAATTGTTGACTTCAATCCAGACAGACCCAATTTTGTCACGTGCAGAGTAATCTAGTGTATAAATGTAAGCTTGTTCTTTTTAGTGCTTCATTAGTTTTATAGCAATGTATGCAAACAGGGCAGCTAGGTGAGTGGTTTCCATGCCTGGATTAGCAGTAAGAGTTTGTCTCGTTCTTTTTTCTTTCCTGAATGTCTTCATGTGTATTTTCTAGTTCAGCTACCCACAGGATGAATGAGTAAACTGTCTGTTTTGTCTTAAGTCAAAGAAAATTTAAAGATCTTTCAAGTCTTCTAGTACTTCTGGAAGAGGCTAACTTTTTGACTGCACAAATTGTAACTGTAGAAAGAATTTTCATCGGTCTATAGCAGTGAAAGCTGTCAGTCTTGGTATGGAGAGGTTTTGGTTTTAATATTTTAGAGTTTTGCCTTAGCTCTCTGATAAAAAGAATAACATTGGGCTAAAGGAGTGCATTGGCAGCATGAGATAGAAGATTCATAGTAACCCTCTTGGTTCTTCTGGAGATATGGAATAAAACCAAATAAGTAACACTTAAATGGCCTGTCTGTGCTGTGACTGTTATGCCACTGGTAAAAATAGGTCCACAGTCCAGTCCATGGCATGTGAAGAATCGTTGCTATCATCTGGATAACACAGAAATTAAGGCTTGAGTCTTTATTTGGACTTGGAAGAAAGGGGCTGGGAGAAATAAGCTAAAACTCCCTAGTCTTTCACCACTCAGCCCTCATGTAAGTTAATGCTGAAAAAAAAAGCACAGTTGTGCCCCAGGTTCTCTAGAGCTTACTACAGCAGTTCAAGGTAAAGTCAGCAGTAAGTAATCTCTGGATGCTCTTATTGTAAGTGCTGTAAAGTAATTTAACAAAAAAAAGAATCTGCCACATGGTGTTTATAT